TCCCTGAACTTCTCCTGTAAGAATTTGGATGCTATATATTGGTGCATATATATTTAGTAATGATATTACTTCATTGTCTATGGTGCCTTTTAGCAGGATGTAGTTTCCTTCCTTATCTCTTTTGATTAGATCTATTTTTGCTTTTGCTTTGTCTGAGATCAGGATTGCTACCCTGCTTTTTTTCTTCAGCTGACGCATAATATATTCTGCTCCAGCCTTTTACCTTTACCCTGTATGTGTCACTCTTTTTCAAATGTGTTTCCTGTAAACAACATATTGTAGGATTATGGTTTTTAATCCATTCTGCAATCCATTTTCGTTTTATGGGAGAGTTCATCCCATTCACATTCACAGTTATGATTACTATCTGTGTCTTTTTCTCCATCCTTTCCCCCTTTATGCTTTTCTTTCTCCTTTTTCCTTTCTCCCCCACTAGTGTTTTGCTTTTGACCACCCCTCCTTCAGTCCCTTCCCCCTTTTATTATCCCTTTCCCTTTTCTTCCCCTTTACTTACTGCTTTTCCCTCCCTTCTTTCCCCCCCTTTTCTTTCCCCTTTTCCCTCCTACTGCCTATAGGGCAAGTTAGATTTCTATACCTAACTGATTATATTATGCCCTTCTTGAGCCAAATCTGATGAGAGTAAGGTTCAAACAATGCTCCCCCCCCTTCTTTCCCTCTGCTGTAATAGGATTTTGTGTCTTTTCCTGTAATGTAATTTACCCTTGTCTGCCTCCTCCTTTCTCAGTACATTTTCTAAGATCAGATTGATCCACTTATTTGGATCCATTTAACCCACTTGATTAGATTTTTTTTATCATTACATCAAAGTCAACTAATATCCACCCTCTTTATGTATACTCCTTTAACAAGGTGTAATAACAATACAGTTCTCAAGGGTTGCAAGTCTCATATTCCCTTGTAGGGGTTTAAACAGCCCCCCCTTATTAACAACATATTGTATCCTTCTGTCCCATTTACCTTTTTAAGTCCTTCTTGAGTCCTGTACTTGAAGATCAAATTTTTTGTTGAGCTCTGGTCTTTTTATCAGGAAAGTTTGGAAGTCTCCTATTTGTTGAATATCCACCTCCTCCCTTGAAAAATGATGCTCATTTTTGCTGGGTAATTGATCCTTGGCTGCATTCCAAGCTCCTTTGCCTTACGGAATATCATGTTCCATGCCCTGCGGTCTTTTAATGTAGAAGCTGCAAGGTCCTGTGTAATCCTGACTGTGGTTCCATGATATTTAAATTCTTTCTTTCTGGCTGCTTGCAGCACCTTCTCTTTCATCTGGTAATTTTGGAATTTTGCTATTATATTTCTTGTTTTCAATTTGGGATCTCTTTCAGGTGGTGATCGTGGATTCTTTCTCTGGTTATTTTCCCTTCTGGTTCTAGGACTTCCAGGCAGTTTTCCTTTATGATTTCCTGAAAGATAACTGTCCAGGCTCTTTTTTTCTAATCATGATTTTCAGGTAGTCCAATAATTTTTAAATTGTCTCTCCTGAGTCGATTTTCCAGGTCGGTTGTTTTACTGAGGAGGTATTTTACATTTTCATCGATTTTTTCTTTTTTTTTTTCTGTTCGCTCTCTCATAGAGACATTAGTTTCCATTTCTCCAATTCTAGTTTTTAAAAGATTGTTTTCTTCTGTTAGTTTTTGTACTTCCTTCTTCAACTGGCCAATTGTCTTTTTTAGGGACTTGTTTCCTTCAGCATACTCTTCTGTTAGATTTTGTACTTCCTTCTTCAACTGGCCAATTGTGTTTTTTAGGACTTGTTTTCTTCAGTGTACTCTTCTGTTAGTTTTTGTCCTTCCTTCTTCAATTGGTCAATTGTGTTTTTTAGAGACTTGTTTTCTTCAGTGTATTTTTTTTCCAACTGGCCAATTGTATTTTTGAAGGACTCTTCTACCTCTCTCATTTGACTATTAAAATCCTTCTTCAGCTCTTCTAAGAAGGCTTTTTGGGCTTCAGACCAGTTCATATTCCCTTTTGTTGTTGCAGATGTGGGTTTGTTGACAATGTTGTCCTCTTCAGAATTTCTGTCTTGATCTTCACTCTTCTCATAATATGAATCTATGGTACGTTTCTTTTTACTCATGGTGTTTCTTTATTCCCTGGCCTTTAAAGAGATTGAGCTCTCCTGCTGGGGAACAGAGGTACTGACCCAAGCTTCTTGTGTTGGGAGCCTAGGTCTTGGTCACTGGCTTTGCGTTCTGGGGCCTCTTATGCTGGGAATTGAGGCTGTAGGTTTCTGGCAGCTTACCATGTTGGGCTGGAATCAGCAAGGCTGGAACTTTCAGGCAATTCTAGGTTGCCTGCTTTTCCTTTCCTTTAGCTTTCTTCTGCTCCTTTTAGATGGCTGCTGCAGGATGTTTATCTGCCTGGAGCCCCCTACAGTGTTGTCTCCCTTGTTTCTGCTAAAGCACTGGGAGATTCCTTTGTGGTGGATTGCCCAGACTCCTGGTGGTTTTCTGAGCTGGTTTCCGCCGGTTCCCCCCGCCCTCAGTGAGGCACTCAGAGGTCCAGGTGTTGGTGTTTGCCTGCTCTACCACCTGGGCTTCAGGATCTCTTCACATTTGGGGGCTTCAGGGCTCCTACAGCTCACCTGGTGTTGGGCTGGAATCAGCAAGGCCGGGGCTTTAGGAAGCCTTTAGGTTGTTTTCTTCACCTGCTTTCAGATGAATGCCACCGGGTACTTATCTGCCTGGGGCCCCTTGTTTTTGCTGAGGCACTGGGAGACCCGTTTGCTGGGCTACTCAGGTGATCCAGGGTTTTTTTTTTCTGGGGTGATATTTTCTGGGTTTTCAGAGGTTGATAGGAGAGAGTGAGAGTGACTACCTTTTCACTCTGCCATCTTGGCTCCGGGAAGCGGAAGTCTGTTAACAGCACTTTCTCTTGCTTTCACAGCATTGGAGCCACCAAGAAAGCAAAACATGTTTTAAAGATGAGAGTTGAAATGAGTGATGTAGGATACCAAGGAAAGTAAGAGGTGGAGGCGAGGAAAGCACAACATTCTAGGTGTGAAGGAAAGGTATGGAGATGAGAGGTGAAGTGATGGGTTTGAGGGACAGACTGGCCATATGTATTTTGTTTGGCCATATATATGTTGTCTCTCTCTTTAGACTATGAGTTTCTTGAGGATGGACACTTTCTTTTTTGCCTTTCTTTGTAAATTCAGGGCTTAGCACAGTGCTTGTTACATGTCATGTATAATGTATAAGAAATGCTGGTTGACTGACTATACAATCTCGACTTCTTACAGTATTTATAAGGTAGACCTCCCAGATAAAGCCCCTATGTGGATTTCTTTCAAGGCTCTCATTGTCTCTCTTTTTACTGTGTTGAGGCCTTCATGCTACGCTGCTTGAAAGTCTTAGCTTCTAGGAGATAGTTCCCAATACCCTCTCTTCCACTTTTTTCCCAAAAAGTTGGTTTTTCTCTTCTTTTTTATGTTTCTTGGGGATTTTTTTGTCTATTTTCTCTTTCATAACATATGTTTTGCATGACTGCACAAGTATAACCTATGTCAAATTGATAACCTTCTTGATGGGGAGGGGGTAGTGAGGGGGTTAGAAAATTTGGAACTCAAATTATGAAAAAAGAATGTTAAAATTGTTTTACATGTAACTAGACAAAATAAAATATTAAAATTAAAAAACCACATTTCTTTTTAAAAATTCCCTATTTCTAAATCCTAGGAAGCATTTAAGTGATTGGAAGAGTGTTACCTCATCCATTTCAAATACTTTCCCCAGTGCCTTGTACCAAAATTGGGAGGGAAGGAATAAGTGATGAAAATAGACCCTACTATGTGCCAGGCACTGTGCTAAGTGCTTTACTAATAGTATGTCCTTTGATTCTCATGAATCATGAGTAGTAAATGGTATTATGACACCTATTGTATAGTTGAGGAAACTGAGGCAGAGAGGGTAAATATTTTCCCAGGCTTATGCTACTGGTATCTGAGGCTGAATTTGAACTCAGGTCTTTCTGACTGCAGGCCCAGCATTTCACCCCTGCCAACATAGCTGACAAAAGGTATAGGGAAAAGTCTGTGTGGCATAGTGTTTGATTGCATTCAGTAATTAACATTCTTCCATGCTTCCATATCCATGGTAAAACAAGTTAATAATTGAATTCCATTTTATATTTCTTTACAATGCATATTAGTGCATGTCTTCTTAATTGCAAATAGGCCTTCTTCAAATCCAAAACAATAATGAAAAAAAGTGAAAAATGGAAAGAGAAATAGAAAAGTCAGAAGAGATACAGAGTGAAGTGAGCAAAACCAAGAGTACAATATGTGTAATAACGACAATAATTATTTGAAGGGGAATAAAACCAAAGATCTTCTCAGCTCACTTGGATGTGGTGACTAATGGGGTGGGGAAATGCTGCCCACCTCTTGGCAGAGAGAAGATTGGCTAGAGGTTCAGGAGACTTAAATTGACAGTCACAGCCCACGTGTTGTTGGCTAATTGTTTTTGGCTGAATCTACTAACAGGTTGGGCTTTTATTGGGATGGGGATGTCAGTAAGTGATGAGAAGGATGCACAGAAAACAGAAGACAAGAAAGAAAAGAGCCTTAATTATGTATGTAAAAATGGAAGAACTGAAGGAAGTTCAATAACAGACCTCAACAGATATGGCAGTTTCATTATTGTTATATTATATATACTCTTTGCAAAAAACAAATTTTCATGATAGAAGTTTACTTTCCACAAGTAGTTTTTATTCTCAAGAACGATAAAAATGAGCATCACCACACACAGTGTGGAACATAGAGGATTGATTATGAAACTGTGAATCTCTGTTTCCCACTGCTTGCTTTAAAAAACAGGGCGTGTAATTCCTAACTAGCTTTACCTCTGAGCCAGGGTTGCAACACATGAAATGTTGCTGTGAATCATTTGCCTAACTTTGTCCAACCCTGTCTTGGAAAAATTCCCAGGAATTGAAGTTCATGGTTCTTTTACTCCTCTTACAATATTAGTTTTGGGTCACCAACATGTATTAGTAGAAGACATTATGCTTTCTTCCAGTACTGGTCGGGTGAAGACAAGGGTTGTCAGAGATTGAACCACTCTTGATAAGGACTTGAGGAGAAAAGTCTCAGTGGGTAGAATTCAGGTGAGACTACAAAGAAGAAAGTTTGGAAACTTCAAACCTGATCCTACAAAGACATGTCATCAGAATACACAGAGTTTGAAGGAATCTTGTTCTACCCATTTTACAGTGTAAAGAACCTCAAATTTTGTCAGGAAGAGTTTATGGTGAAGGATACTGATGTCATTCTTGTAACCTACCCCAAGTCAGGTAAGAAACAAGGATGGGTCCACGTGGAGGTGTTTTGGGAGAAAAATACATAATAGCTGCCCTGCAATGTTAATCAAGGTTGCAGAATGTTAGAGTTGGAAGGGATTTGGGAGACTATTTCTCCGAAGTGATCAGTTTTTTCCCCGAGTGATCAATTTTAGGAGAGAAATAAATAAATGTAGAGAGAGCAGAATGGCAGTCAACTTAACAAGCATTCATAAAGAACCAGCCATATTCCAGGTGTTGTACTAGGTAGGACAATTTTAGTGAAACTTGGGAAAAGTTGTGTGACTTGATACAGTTTGAGGTGAGCAGAACCAGGAGAATAGATTATACAATATCAAAACACTGTAAGATTAATCAACTTTGAAAGACTTAACAAATATTGAATGTGTTGACCAATCATGATCCATGAAAACCAAATATAAACCTGGCTACCCACCTCCTGTTAGAGATGATGGACTCAGGATGAAGAATGAGGTATTCATTTGGGGGCAAGAACTGTGGGGGAATTTCTTTAATGTGATTATGTGTACATGTTATAAAGTAGTTTTCTTTTTTTTTTCAGAAGGAGTTAGGGGAGGTCTGAGAAAAAAAGCAAGTGATTATGAATTTTAAAATGGCTTTCTAAAAGATCAAATTTAAATTAATTGGTGAACTCCATGTGAAACTACACCTACCTCATCAAAAAATCCCATTTTCCTCTTCGTTGGGATTGTTCCCCTTTTCTTTTTCACAATTACATTCTTGAGCACCTTCCACCCTTCTTGTGCTTATTTCCTTTGAAGCAGTTTACTTCATGGGCTTAATCTTATGTCTTTTGCCTCTGAATACTGTAAAATCTGCTCTGCCAAATGTAGGGGACTTGTCCAATTGTGCCCAGATTTCCTTTTCTTATAGAGAAAAAACATCTCTGAACTCTCAAATAGTCACTTTCCTCCTCCCAAGATTCCTATCATTTCTACCGAAGCAACTAGTTCTTCCCCATTAGGGAGAATTGGATCTAGAAGAGAATTTCCCTCTCTTGCTTCTTCCAACTTTTGAAGGATGAAATGACCAAAAGGCAGTTTCATAAGTTGTTAACTACTCTGCTCTTGTGAGGCAAAGAACCAAAACATATCTGAATATCTGAAATCCCCCATCAGTACTATATCCTCCCCTTGTCCCAGTCTCAGGATCTATTTCTCAACATTCTCATCTATTTCTTCTCTCTTTCCAGGGGTCTGTAAAGTATAGACTTTAGTGACAAATTGCTTTTGTTTCTCCTTCTTTGGGCCTTCTCCCAAATTCCCTCCATTATACTTCTGCCTGTCCCACCTTTGGTTCCTGCATGTCTTAATATGTGTATACCTTCCTAATATGCGATACTGGTTCATCCTCAGATTTACCTATGCTGTTTCCCTTAAATAAGGTAGACTCATATAAAGCCATAGTATGATTTGGATTTTCTCCCAAAAGGTGTTAAAGACATCAGCTAGGTCCATTTTGAACTCTCATATTGTGGCCTCTAGTCCCTTCTGCTTGTTGACCAAAGTACTTTACTGATGTCTCCTCTCTTGGGTTTTGTATCCTCTGGATTTATGGCTTTCTCAGCTGCTATGCTTCTCTGATGCTACTCCTATAGAATTTAGCTTCAGGGGTACATAGAAGACATCTTTTTTTTTCCCCTTCTCATCCTCTTTATCATAAAGTCTTTTTAATCAGATTCATGAGACTAGTTGTGTGTTAACCTTATATTATAGGCTGTGATGCAGAGAGTTAAATTTTATTCTTCTACTGAACGATTCATTTTGCAAATTAATTTTTCCCTTTAGAGTCTCTTTCCTTTAATATACAATAACAAAGGAAGGACAGCCAAGTGCTCTTATGTTCTTTACATTCTGGCCTCAGATTGTGTAATCATTGGGAATGTTGTTTAGGTTGCTTCTGGCAGAGTTGTCCAATTCCATCTGAATTATCTGCAGTGAATAGCTGTCATCAATTTGGATAAGTTTTGGGGTGTTCTCCATTGTGGTTTTGAATATGTGACTCTGGCAGGTGAAAGACCACTTTGTTCTTGCTTTCAGTTTGCCAAACAGGCTTTCTAATAACAATATTAGGAAGATAAGAACCTTCTTCTCTCACAGAGTATCGAGTTCTCTCTTCAGGAGGACACTCAAATTCATTGTGTTTCTCTCTTCTTCCCTACTTCCTTCTCTTCTCTGTCTCCCATGGAAAACTGGCTCTACACTTAGATATCACATGCAAAAGAACCTGTATTAATATACTTTATCTTTTCTGTTCTCTCCATTAGGAACCCATTGGGTTATAGAGATAGTCAGCCTGATCCGCAGTAAAGGAGACAACACCTGGGTCCAATCCATCCCTATTTGGAATCGGTCCCCATGGATAGAAACAGACCAAGGCCAGCTGTTGCTTTCCAAAAAAGAACAAAATGGACCCCGGTTTTACAGCAGTCACCTACCCATCCAGTTGTTCCCCAAATCCTATTTCCACAGCAAGGCCAAGGTGAGCAAATGAGAACTCCACTCAGTGAGGTGGATACTGGTATGACAATATTATGCTAGCAGAAGGCTAAAAAGTGCATTTCTGATCTGCATCTTTCAAGGACTGAGAGGAAATGGAGGCAACATCAGACAAAGAAGGAGAAGCATTTTCGTCCCCCTCCCTCTTCTCTATGACATTCCAACACAACATTTTTAATATTAATATTTGGTTCTTTACTTTATTCCTCTCTGTAGCTCCTCAGTGCTTATGGGTTAAAGTATAGGATCATATTGTTGCCTCCAAAGTCATCTACAATCTGCCTTCAAGCCTTGAATATACATTAACTCTCTCTACTCACTATCATTCATTAATTCAACATTCCAGACATCATTTTGAATGGCTTTCCAGAATGGCTTGACCAATTCATCGTTCCATCAACAATACAATAAGGTGCCTGTTTTCCTAGATCCTCTAACATTTTTAACCTTCTAGGAACATTAAACCAACTCCAGTTTATTCTTATATATCTTGTATGTTTATTGCTAGTGTCTTTTTAAATTTTCTTTAATTGCCTTTTTGATAGAAAAAAAAGCAAGAAAAAGAAAGTGAAAAAAGGTGCTTCAATCAGCATTCAGATTCCATCAATTATTTCCATAGATTTGGATAGCGATTTTCATCCTAAATCCTTGGACATTGTCTGGGATCAATGTATTGATTGGAATACAGCTAAGTTATTCACAGTTGCCGTGGTACAATGTTGCTGTTACTGTATAAAATGTTCTCCTGGCTTCTATATACTTCACTTTGAATCAGTTCATATAACTTTCAAAAGATTTGTCTGAAACTATTCTGCTCATCATTTCCTATGGCTCAATAGTATTCTATCACATTCATCTACTACAGTTTGTTCAGTCATTCCCAAATTGATAGGCATCCTCTTAACTTCCATATCTTTGACCCTACAAAAAGAGCTGCTCTAATTATTTTTGTACTTAAAGGTCATTTTCTTTTTTATTTGATCTCTTTGGGATACAGACCTAGTAGTGGTATTGGGGTATCAAATGCACAATTTTGTTACCCTTTGGGCATTATTTTAATTCGCTTTCCAAAATGGTTGGATCCATACACAACTCCAATAGTATATTACTGCATCAATTTTTCCACATCCTCCAAACATTTGTTATTTTTCTTTTCTGTTACATTTGCTCATCTGACCTGTAAAATGGAATGCCAGTTCTTTTATTTGTATTTTTATAATCAGTAATGAGTTACAGCCTTTTTGTATGATTATTTATTGTTTTGATTTCTCCTTATGAAAACTGCTTGTTCCCATCCTTTGAACATTTGTCACCCAGAGAATGATTTGTATTCTTACAAATTTTATTTGGTTTTTTATACATTCAAGAAGTGAGGATCTATTTGGAGAAAGAATATAAAATTTTCTCCATTTTCCTCTGCTCTGTCTGATATTCGCTGTATTGGTTTGGTTTGTGTAAAACATTTTTAAATTTCATATAATCAAAATTTTCAATTTTATATTCTGTATGGCTCTGTAATCCTTGTTTGGTCACAAATTCTTCACTTATCCATTCATCTGATAAGCAAAAATTTCCATATTTATCTAATTTGCTTATGTCTAAATTTCACACCTATTTTGACCTTATCTTGGTATACAGTGTGCAGTGTTCATCTGTACCTTGTTTCTGCAGAATGCTTTCTAGTTTTTTTCCACTAATTTTGGTCAAAAAGTGATTTTTGTCCCAGAAACTTGCATCTTTGTGTTTATCCAAGACCAGATTACTATGGCCATTTATTATTATGTACCAAATCTATTACACTGATGCTACATTTTGTTGTGATCCACACAGTCAAAGAGTTTACTGTAGGAAAGAAAGCAGAAGTGGGTGTTTTCTTGAACTCTTTTGCTTTCTCTATAATCCATTGAATGTTAGTAATTTGCTCTCAAGTTCCTGTGTCTCTTTGAAAACCAGCCTGCTCTTCTAGTAATTTTTGGTTTATGTATTGCTGAAGCCTCGCTTGCAGAATCTCAAGTGTACCTTTCCTGGCATGTAAAATGAGCACTTTTTTTTGATAATTAGAACATTCTTTGGCATTACTCATCTTTTGAACTGGGTTGTAAACTGATCTTTTGCAATACATTAGCCACTCATGAGTTTTCCAAATTTACTGACATATTGAGTGCGAAGAGAAAGATACACAAATGGGAAAATAGGATGGAGGGTAATACACAATAATCCTAAGTGTGAAAAAAATTCATGCCAAGTTTCTGACACAGGCCTCATTTCTCAAATATATAGAGAACTAAGTTAAGATTGGTAGAACCAGGAAGCCAGGAGGAGAAAAGGTGCTATAGAAGGGTCGCAGTAAAAAATACGTGGATAAGGAAGAAAGACCAGTAGATGGGCAAGATGAGGTCATTGGCCACCTCATTAGGAGAAGGACAATTTGGTACTAGAGAAATAATTAAATGTAGGCCACTGCATAAGGACTTAGGGTAGGAATATATGTATGAGAAGTGGAGACAGAGACTGTAGAGTTCCTAGTGGAAGAGACCAGTAGTGACCAGAAAGAAGGTGTTAAGTAAGCAGTTAAAAAAAAAACAAATTGGCTTTTTAAAAAAAAAAAATTGGGGTGGTATGGGAAGGTCCAGTGGCCTGGGCAGCCTATAATAATCTTGATTTCTATTTCAGATAATTTACATCATGCGGAACCCCAAAGACGTGGTTGTTTCTCTTTATTATTTCTCAAAAGTGGCTAAATTTTTCCACACTGCAGAAAGTTTTTCCCAGATGTTTGAGAAGTTCACTCAAGGAACTGGTGAGCAGACTGAGAGCTAGAATCTCTTTATCTTTGCAATAAAAGCCACTTCTACTTCTGGAGGGATATTGTGAAGACAACACATGAAGGAGGCAACTCCAATACTAGCCCCATTTTGTAGATGAGTCAATAGACACAGAGGCTCATTTCTCCCTTTTTAAGTTGTGACAGTCTCCTCTGTATGGATCGCATTTATTTCCCCATCACACTCTACCTCATGTGTGCCCCTGATGCATTCCCCCAGCCAGAGGTAGTCTGACATTTCTTCCCATTCATTGTATCTAAAGATTTTTATGCCAGGGATCACTAGGGCTATGGAGCCCCATATTGGAGATGACTGGTCTAGAACATACATCAGCCACATCCTTGGCTGAAAAATCATAGTCCATATCATTTGAAGCTGAAAGGTTTCCAGGAATTCAAAAAGTCAATTCACTTAACTTTACCTAAAAGAAAAGTACAGTCCACAGAAGAGGAGGGACTTAGAACCACAGAATATCAGAGTTGGGAGGGACCTTCATGTACAACTCACTCATTTTTCATATGGGGAAACCATGGTACACAGATAGGAAGAGATATTCCAAATTTGACAAGCATTTTTAAGTGCTTGCTGTGTCCCAGGCACTGTACTAAGCACTGGAAATACTAAGAAAGGCAAAAAAAAAAAAGAATAATCCTTGTTTTCAAGAATCTTACAATCTAATGGGGGAGATAAGATACAAAGACCTATATACAAACAAACTATAGATGAGCTAAATGGGAGATGATCAACAGACAAAAGGCACTGTCCCCTTAAGGAAGACCAGGAAAGGCTTCTTGTAGAAAGTGGGATTGTACCTGGGACCTGATGGAAGCCATGAAATCCACAAGGCAGGGCTAAGGGGGGAGAGAATTTCAAGCCTTGGGGACAGAGTCTAAAAATGCATGGAATAGGGCAATGGAGGGTCTAGTCTGAGGAACAGCAAGGAGAGCAGTGTCATTGAGTCACAGAATCTGTGGGTGGAAGTAAGCAGTAAAGAAACTAGGAAGGTAGGAAGGTGCCAAGTTATGAGGTTAAACAGAGGATTTATATTTGATTCTAGAGGAAATCAAAAGGAGTCCTTGCAGTTGAATGTGGTGGTGTTGGGTAGGATGATGTGTTGTGAAAAACTCCACCTGATCAACTTCTGCTTTAAAATGTGCCATTTGGAGTTTGGAGGAAGCAGAGCCAAGATGGCAGAGTAAAAGCAGTAAGTTGCTTGAGCTCTCCCCCAAACCCCTCCAAATACCTGTAAAAATGGCACTAAGCAAATTCTAAAGCAGTAGAACCCACAAAAATACATGGCGAACCATATTTCCAGGGCAAGACAATCTGGATGGTTGATCAGAAAGGTATATTGTGCCAAATAGGAGAGGAACAAACTTTGGCATGGGCACACAGGCCCCAGAGAGCCTGCAGCAGGCCCCAGTGGACTGAATCACAGGCAGCTGTCATGGTTTCCAGACTTCTCAACCCATGAATGCCAAAGACAACTTAGAAGGTCATTGGGAAAAGACTGTCTGTGTGGTGAGAGAGATGTGCAGTCCCAGCCCCAATCCCCAAGTATGGCCTTAGGGCAGTGGCTACCCCTGGAGTTTCTGGCCAGCAGACTGAGAAGGAATAGAGTGGCTGATCAGAGGGGGATTGCAGGCATCTCTTTGCTGTTGCAGGATTCTCTTGCTTTGCCTGTGCTTGGATCTGGGTCACAGTTCTGGGTGGTCTTGTGGAGAACAGGAGCACTGGCATGGTGGAGTTTGTAGCGGTGGTGAAGACTAAATCCTCCTCACAGTTCCAAGGCTGAAAAGAGTGGTTGTGGTCACTCATAGACCAAAGCCCAGGCCAGGAAAGGAGTAAACACCTCGCCCCTTATCATATCACCTTGGAAGAACTGAAAATTTACAGGTCTGAAAACAGCTGCACAAAACCCCAGAAGCTTCAGACAGTACATTCTTCACACCGGAAGCAGGCACCTACCTTAATAAACAGTTTATAACTCAAGTACTTGTCTGGGATCATGAGCCAGCAGCAAAAAAACGGTCAGACCACAGAATCTTACTTTGGTGACAAAGACCAAACATACAACTGGAAGAAAACAAAGTCAGAGCTCCTATATCCAAAGCCTCCAAGAAAAATATGAACAGGATCCAGGCCATGGAAGAACTCAAAAAGGATTTTGAGAAGCAAGTAAGAGAAATAGAGGAAAAACTGAGTGATGCAAGAAAATCATGAAAAACAAGCCAACAGCTTGTTAAAGGAGACCCCCCCAAAGAAAACTGCAGAAAATAATATCTTAAAAAATAGCCCAACTTAAATGGCAAAAGAGGTCCAAAAAGCCATTGAGGAGAAGAATGCCTTAAACAGCAAAATTGGCCAAATGGAAAAGGAAGTCCGAAAGCTTACTGAAGAAAGTACTTCCTTAAAAATTAGAATGGAGCAATTGGAAGCTAGTAACTTTATGATAAATCAAGACACTGTAAAACAAATCCAAAAGAATGAAAAAATAGAAAACAATGTGAAGTATCTCATTGGAAAAAGAACTGACCTGGAAAAATAGATCTAGGAGAGATGATTTAAAATTATTGGATTATCTGAAAGCCATCAAAGAAAACAAAGCCTGGATATCATCTTTCAAGAAATTGTGAAGGAAAACTACCCTCATATTTTAGAACCAGATGGCAAAATTGAAATTGAAAGAATCTACTGATCACCTACTGAAAGAAATCCCCAAAGGAAAACTCCTAGGAACACTGTAGCCAAAATACAGAGTTCCCAGGTCAAGGAAAAAATATTGCAAGCAGCCAACAAGAAACAATTAAAGTATTGTGGAAACACAATCAGGAAACACAGGATTTAGCAGCTTCTACATGAAGAGATCACAGGGCTATTACAACCAAGAATCACCTACCCAGTAAAACTGAGCATGTCAGGGCAAAAAATGAATATTCAGTGAAAGAGAGGATTTTCAAGAATTCTTGATGAAAAGACCAGAGCTGAACAGAAGCTTTGACTTTCAGATACAAGACCCAAGAAAACATGAAGAGGTAAACAGGAAAAAGAAATCATAAGAGCCTTAGTAAGGTTGAACTGTCTACGTTCTGCCTGGAAAAATGATAATTGTAACTCATGAGTCCTTTGTCAGTATTAGAGTAGTTGGAGGGAAAGAAAATATGTGTATGTATGTATGTTTGTATGCATAGATAATATAGAGATAGAGGTCACAGGATGAGTTGAAAATGAAGGAGTGCTATCTGGGGAAGAAAATTAAGGGGTGAGAGAAGATTATATGGAGAGAAGGAGAAAGGGGGAGGTAGAATGGGGTAAATTATCTCGCATAAAACAACAAGAAAAGTCTTTTACAGTGGAGGGTAAATGGGGAAGGTCAGAGGGAATGAGTGAATCTTATTGTCATCGGATTTGACTTAAAGAGAGAATAACATACACACTCAGTTGGGTATGGAAATCTATCTTACACAACAGGAAAATAGGGGGCAAAGGTGGCAAGTGAGCAGGAGGATGATATAGAGGAAGATAGTTTGGGGCAGGGAGTAATCAGAAGCAAACAGTTCTAAGGAAGGACATGGGGAAAAGAGAGAATAGAAGAAATAGGGAGCGGGATAGGATTGAGGGAAATAGACTTAGTTTTTTACAACATGGCTATTATGGAAGTGTTTTGCATAACTACACATGTATAACCTGTATTGAGTTGCTTGTCTTCCCAATGAAGATAAGTGGGGAAGGAGGAAGGGAGAAAATTTGGAACCTAAAGTTTTAAAAACAAAACTGAAAAAAATTGTTTTCACATGCAACTGGGAAATAAGATATACAGGAAATGAGGTATAGAAATCTATCCTGGCCTACAGGAAAATTGAAGGGGAAGGGGATGAGAGAAGAGGGGGGAGATAAAAGAGAGTGAAGATTAGGAGAAGGGGTATTCAGAATGCATGACATCTTGGAGTGGGGGGAGGGATGAGATGGGAAGAAAATTTGGAACTCAAAATCTTGTGGAAGTGAATGTTGAAAATTAAAAATAAATTAATTAAGTTTTAAAAAGAGCCATTAGATAGCTTTTCTATGTTTGTTGCCTTCCCAAGACACTTCAGTGTAGCAGAACTGGGGAACCAGTCCCATGTCTCATGACTCTTCAATCCAGTGACCTTTCTCCTAAAAAAATGGCAAACTTCAAGTTCTAAGGCCTCTTCTAGACATCAAAAGTCACCTCTTCCAGGAAATTTTCAGTGATGCTGAAGTAAAATTGATGACTTAGTTAATGTGACCTTCCAAATTACTAATTCGGTGGCTCTCTTGTGGAAATTCTTGAATTTTTTTTGTTGTAGTTACATATCTCATCACTCAGTCCTTCCCCCATTTCCAACCCACATCTATGAGGCTAGTGTCTTCTTTTTTTTTTTTTTTGCATTTTCCCAAATTTAACATGACACACAAAATGTCTACTGTAGTCATGTATATGCAATTTATTACCTCTGAAAACTTGGACAAATCATTTACCTACCTGTCTCTCAGTTTCCTATTCTATATAACATGGCTAGACTGTATGCCTTTAGAGGTCCTTTTCAACTCTAGAGATATGTTCTCATCTTTTTCTTTTGTCACAAATACCTTATCAGTGCCAGCCTCAAGCAAAATCTTGTGTGTGAGTAGACCCTGAGTCAATATTTTGTGATTGAATGAGGTATTATTGAATGTGTAAATGAAGGAACATGTATGGTCAAAGGGCCTCTCTTTTATTCTCCTTGCAGTGCCATTTGGATCCTGGTTTGACCACACCTGTGGCTGGCTATCCTTGAGAGAGAAAGAAAACTTCCTAATTTTGACCTATGAGGAACTTCTGCAAGTAAATGCTCAATCTTCCCTTTCTTTCTCCTCATCTTCATCTTTCCTTCCCCTTATCTTTAATTTCCCTTACCCTTCTTATCTTTTTACTTCTACTGTTCCCTTCAGTTGGTCTGTCCACACTCCTTAGACCCTGCACTCTTCTTTTAACATCTATCCTGTCTTTTGTGTCTGTCTCACTTCCCTGATGTACCTTTGACTTGTAAAACAGAAGAGCAGAGACACTTTTGGTAGGTACTGTAGGTACAATTTGGGTTTTCTATAGGTCCAATGAATTGGAAGAAAGGAGGTAAAATATTTTTCCTTTTGACTATAAGTACATAAATATAAAGTACTTTAAAAAGTAGCAATTAACATGCAGACTAATGAGAAGCAGAAATATTATAGTTAATTTTTTAAATTTTGTACCAGAGTGAGTTTTAAAGAGATTTGATCACCTAGGTACATTTTGATAGCTTTCTTATTAACAATAAACTTTTTTTAATCAAGGAAAAGACTAAGTCAATTGTTTTCAGATTTAGTAGAACCAATTCATTTAGGACTTCTCTTGAAGATAGGCCTTCCTGGTGCTGACCAACATGCCTAAAAAGTACATTTATTAGTTCTTGGTAGCTTCTCCTCTTGGGGTGAGAAATTGCCAATTCGCTCTCCCTAAGCTTTTAGTCATTGTTGCAGGTAGGTTTACCCAATATTCCCAGCATGTCTCATCGGTAAAAACCTTTCTTCTCCTCTTGGACATACTTTCCTGTCTTTCTGGAACTACTCCTCTTTCATATTTTCTATGTTTTCCCCATCTTCTTTTTCCTCTTTTCTTTTGAAATTCTGATTCCCTCTCCTTCCTTTCCCCCTTCTTTCTTCCTTTCTGAAGTCCTTTTATTCAACCATAATCTCTTACCTTGACATCTCTCCCCATGCCTCACTCCTAAAACTATCCTCTTCCTTTTCTGTGACCTTAACTCTTTCCACCTATAAGAACTCGCTCAGGGCTTCACTTTTCATCTAGTTTGTATTTCTCCTCTTCCATATCTTGAATTTATCATAACCAGTTGACATTAGATTGTCTTCCACTCTCACATTCCATGCCTTTGTCCTGTTATCATGTATATGTTGCCAAACACAATTTCATTCCTGTCATTTGCCTAATCTCAAGTAGTCTTTCACTGCTTTCGCCACAGCATCACAATTCTTTTATTCTTCAATAACTGATCCTTTATGGCACTCCTCACAGTGACTTCTCTCCTCATTCTTCCCACACCATTAATCCCTCACTCTCTCAGCAAGAGGCATGGCCTTATACTTTACTGGAAAAAGACAAGCCATTTGCCATGAACTGTCCCTTTTCCCTTCCCCTATAACTCAAAAATCCCTTGATATCTTCCCCCCTTCACTTTATTCTCACAAGAGGTGGCATTTCTTCTTACCATGTACTACCTCGCTTGTGCCCTTGGTCTCATCCTCTTCATAAGATAGCAGCTCTCATCTTAAATCTCCCTACCTACTGATTCATTCTTTGCTTCTTACACTTAATCAGTCTTTTAACCTTGTCTCAGTTTTGTCACCTGTAAAATAAGATGGAGAAGGAAATGCCAAACCACTCCAGTATCTTTGTTAAGAAAATCCCAAATGGGGTCATGAAGAGTCAGAAACAACTGGACCATTTGACCAAACAGCAGTACTTCCTACAAAAACTGCCATAGATTCTCCACTAGCAAAAGCAAATGACTTCATCCTACCATGCAATTATTGAAATTTATGCTGGGTCAGTCTGAGTGACCTCTTTGTTTGCTCTCTTGCTTGCCTTTAGGAGCATGTGCCTGCCAGAACTTCCAAAGTGGCAGTGAGTTACCCTTTCATCCCATTGCTTTATCTCTAATCTCATTTCCCTCTGAAGTGACAATAAGGAAGAAGCTATGATTAAGCTATCTCAATCTATTTTAAGAATAAGTATGCCTATCAGAAATATCTTTACCTTATTTTTAAACTGGTCTGACATGCAAGAGGTGGCAGTTGGTGGTTTTGAAGTTCAGTGCCCAGAAGCACTGAAGGTTCTCCCCTTGATGTACTTAACAAATCATTTTTATTTTTTCTTCCTGAGTTTGCTTCATTATTGAGGACAAATCCCGAACTCAGATTTTCTTCTAACATCCTCAAATATCTTCCTATAGATCTCTTTCTCAGTCAGGCTCCTAGAAAAAGTTGTGTAATCTTGTTTCTTCCTTTTCTCCTACTATCATGCACAAGTCTCTCTCATAAAGCAGACACTTCCTGCTCTCCACAGCTGCTAACGTGTCCTCTTGAAAATTACTTTTTTTAAAATTTTGTATATAATTTGCATACTGGTGCCCTCACCATATACATTTGTTAATATTAAAGACTGCTTTTTTTTTCATTTTATTCCTAGTGTTGAATACAATAGGTGCTTCATTACTTCCTTTTCTTCGTTCCTCCAACTCTTCTTATCTCTTCATTCCACTTCCCCTTCAGCTCCTCTTCATCCTCCTTTCCTTCTTGTCATCCTTCCATTGCAACAGCCCTATGTCCTCTTCTTCCTTTCCCCCTTTACTTTTAATTCAATTCCTATTCTTCTTCCTCTCCTATTCCTTTATATTTCCTGGGCTCTTCCTCCTCTTCCCTTTTCCCTGTTCTCACCCCTCTCATTGTCTTCTTATCCCCCAAATCCTCCTCATTTTGAGTCTTCCCTGTTAATTGTTGGATTTTCCATCAGTTCTTTCTCTTATATTGAGAGGCCTTTCCACAGGATCTTTGGGGAAATGTGGAGAAGATTTGTCACTTCCTGGGAACAAAGTTGACGGAGGAAGAAATCAACTTAGTGATAAAGAATGCTTCCTTGTCTGCCATGAAAGCCAACAAAATGTCCAACTATTCAGTTGTGTCTGATGAGTTTATAGATCTCAGCCAAGGAAGCGTGTTAAGAAAGGGTGAGTAGGAGCCTAGAGATAAAGAAGCAAAGCTGGTGGGTGTCTTTCCAGAGTTTTGCTGACCCCAGCAAGCCAGACAAGAATGTCTGGGTCTAATAGTGAAGGATGAGAGAAAAAGTGATCAAGATGTTTCTTATATCCAGAGCAAGTATCAGAGAATACAATAATCCACCCACGTATGGGAGGAAGGGTAATACAGGAACCTATCATATATTTACTCTTTTAAGGAAGATCTTTTTTGGGGGAACTATTCTCCCCAAAATTCTGTGGTAAGCATCCCATGTGTCACTGCTGCCCCAGTATTTAATCTACTTGGATGCTGAAAATGAAATGGCCTCTAGTCACATAATTCTTAGTCCCTGAAGACTCAACGTGTGCCATCTTCTTTCAGGTTTGTCCTGAACTCCTGGGATGGTATCTAATGGATCAAGGACAGTGTCTCAATTTGGTTTTGCACATGTGAGGAAATTTCCTAAAGTCTGCATTTGTTAGTTGACCTCTTTCCATTCATCATTCTGGTCTTGAACTTTTTCACTAAATCATCACCAGAGATGATAACTGAGAGTCTTTCCTTGCCTTGTAACCAAACACAAGTGTCTCAATAGATTCTTGTCATTCTCCAACCACCTTGCCACTTGGAGCAAGCAGCCAGTCTTTCTTTGACTGGCCCTCTGTTTAACAGAACGTGTTCCAAATACTGCATCATCTCAATATCTAGGAGGGTTTTAAGGAATTGAATAAATGATTTCTGCTCATTTGACCCCAGCCTCTCCCTCAAAATTGCATATCCTTCCTACATAAGCATTCCACCACGGATGTCAGAATATTGAATTTTCAGAATGTAGGTGAGGTCATAAACAAGATTACTGAGGAAATTTGCCAGCAAACTTCCAATTCTGTCCCTTGGTTCTTTCTACTCCTCTATTACTTCAGTTGCACATCCCAGCCAAGAGTCAAAGGGTTCCCCCTTTAGAGGATGGAGATAACTTCCTGAAGACAACTCCCCATAGCACTCCATCTCTAGAGAGTTCTCAGTGCTGTTAACTGGCATTTTGACAGTTTACATGCAGGACGTAACTATTTTAGCTGAAAGTGAGGCATTCCTCTCCCTCTCTCTTTCTTTCTCTCTCTCTCTCTCTCTCTCTCTCTCTCTCTCTCTCTCTCTCTCTGGGCCAGAACACTATAGCAGACTATCTGGATGTACTGGAAGTACCCTGATTAGAACAGATGCCCAGTGAGGCTTCCTTTCTCTTTTCCTGAGAGACCTTCCTCAAACCTATTGATCATCATATAATACTGCTGTTACTTGGTGCAATATTCTCCTGATCCTGCTCATTTCACTTTGAACCAGTTCATCTGAGTCTCCCAGGCTTTTCTTCTACCACCCTGAACATCATAGCTTATAGCACAATAATATTCCATCAGATTCATTTACCACAACTTGTTGAGCCATTCCCCGACTAATGGACATCCTCTCCATTTCCAATACTTTGGCACAACAAAAAGCAACTATCAATATTTGTGTATATATAGTACCTTTTGCTCTTCCTTCAATCTCTTTGGGACACAGACCTATAGTGCATTTTTGGGTCAAAGGGTATACAGAGTTTTATAGCCCTTTCATAGTAGTCCCAAATTGCTTTCTGGAATGGTTGGATCAATTCATAATCAACAACGAAATAGTTTCTCAATTTTCTACATCCCCTTCAATAGCTGTGATTTTCCTTCTTCTTTTTTTTTAATCTAATACCTCTTGGGGGATACCCCAGAGTTACTTTAATTTGAACTTCTCTAATCAATAGTGACTTAGTGCATTTTTAATATCAATATAGATAACTTTGATTTCTTCTTCTGAAAACTGCCTGTTTATATTCTTTGAACATGTATCAACTGGAGAATAATGGATATTCACATTAATTTGACTCAGTTGCCTATACATTTGAGAAATGAGGCTATTACCAGAGAAACTTCCTATAAAATTGTGCCCCAATTTCATGCTTTCCTTCTGTTCTTGGCTGTATTGGTTTTATTTCTGCAAAACCTTGTTTTCACTTAATGTCATCAAATTCATCCATATTGCATCCTGTCATGCTGTCTGTCTCTTGTTTGCTCATAAATTCTTTCCTTCTCCATAGGTATGAGAGGTAAACTTTTCCATCTTTTTGTAATTGCCTTATGATATCACCTTCCTGTCTAAATCACATACCCATTTTGACCTTATTTTGGTATTTGGTGCAAAATGTTGGTATACACCTAGCTTCTGCCAAACTGCTTTCTAGTTTCTTTTCACCAGTTAATTTTAAATAATAAGTTTTTGTTACAAAAACTAGGATCTTTGAGTTTATCTAACACTGAAATACCATGCTCATTGACTACTGTGAATTGTGTACCTAATGTATTCCACTGATCAACCAATCTATTTCTTAGCCACAACCAGACTGTTCTCATGATTTCTACTTAGTAATACACTTTGATATCTGGTGTGGCTAGGCCACATTCCTTCACATTTCTTTTTTCAGATTCATTTCATATTCTGGATTTTTTTTTCTTCAAGAAATATTTTGTTATTATTTTTATTAGCTTTCAGGTAGTGCAATAATTCAATTATCTCTCCTTCATCTGTTTTCTAGATAAGTTGTTTCTCCAATGAGAAATTTCATCTTTTTGCTAGTTTTTTCAATTTTATTTTGATTCATGAATAATCACTTCCATGTATTTTTGAGTTTAAAATTTTTCTCCCCTTTCCTCCCCACCCTTCCCAAGACAGTACACAATCTGATGTAGGCTATACATTTACATTCCTGTTAAACATATTTTCACATTAGTGGTGTTGTAACTAAAAATTAAAACCAGTAGGAGGAACCATGAGAAAGAGGAAACAAAACTCAGCAGAAGAGGAAAAAAAATAGCACTTCAAATTTCATAGTTCTTTCTTCGGACGTGGATAGCATTTTCCATCACGAGGCCTCTGGAGATGGCTTAGATCCTTGTATTGCTGGGAAGGCTTAACTTTATCAGTATTAGTCATCACACAACATGGCTGTTATGGTGTACCTTTCTAGTGTTTTTTTTTATTCTTTTCACTTTTTGTTTCTTTCTTGAAGTCTTATGGAGACATTATATTCCATTTGTTCTCTTTGAATTTTTAAGGAATTATTTTTTTCAGTGGATTGTTATATCTCTTTTTTCATTTGGCCAATTCTGCTTTTTCAGGACTTCTCTTCAGTGTGGTTTTCCTCTTTTACCAAACTGTTGAATCTCTTTTCATAATTTATTTTTGCATCACTCATTTCGTTTCCCAGTTTTTCCTCAACTTCTCTCATATGATTTTTAAAATCCTTTTTGAGCTCTTCCAGGAATTCTTACAAGACTTATGGGGCATGTTGTTACTCCTCCTGCCCAAAAGAACAAACCTTTCTGCAGCTGTGTTAGGAAAGAAGAATAGGTCACAGAGGCTCTTCACTTACATTAGTGGAGATTTAATCAATCAATCAATGGAATGACCAGTGGCTATGCTCCTTAGCCACTTAAAAATGGCTTCCATAATAAACGCCAATCCTGCAAGTTCCCACCCATTGACTCTTTCCCTTTAATGAGGAAAGAGACAAGGCTCTCTAAGAATGGATGTCCTTGTTAATCCTTTGGTCTTCAAGAGGACCATGACACCAGGAAGGTGATATCACGACTTGCAAGTGAATGGGACTTAAGTGAGGCAGGGCATTGCATAGTCACCAGCCTCACTTTCTCCTCTGGAGCCATTTGGATCAAGTGGCAAGATGTAGGTCAGGGTGACTGGACATGGCCCCCTTTAGGAGTGGAATGAGCCTTTCCCAAACCATCACCTGACTTCTTCCCTCCATGTCTGGCAGGAATTGCTGGAGACTGGAAAAACCACTTCACAGTAGCTCAAAGTGAAGCCTTTGACAAACTTTTCCAGGAGAGGATGGCAGAGCTGGACCAAAGGCTGTTCCCCTGGGAGCAGTGAGGAGGGGCTGACAACTTGATGTTACCTTTGATTCTACACAGGACAGGTGGCTGGGCAATTTTACCTAATCCTGTATCTAAACCTTAGATTCACTGGGTCAAAGTAGCCATGGCTAAGAGATACTTGGCTATTTCTATTATAACACCAATATTAAGGCTCCCCTTTAGCTTGCTTAAAAATAACTCCCAGACCTAAGGCAAACACAATGATTTTCTTTCCACTCCCCTGGTCCTTCCCCTGTCTCAAATCATAGAGTACATTAAAGTGATGGAGTGCTAATAGAGCTACCCTCAGCCCCAATATTCTAACTTCCTTATGAGCCCCACTGAATAGCAGTCATGTCCGGATTTGATACCACAATCTGCCTTTAAACACAACACGGGTCCCCCAAATCAATCATGGATCTCATTGAATAGCAAGCCTGTGCTCCCAGCTAGCAATTGCCCCTAGACTCAATCATCTAGCTAGCCCCTTCCCTCAGATCCAATTTACATATTTCCCACAGAACCAGGTGTGTCCATGGACTCAACCTAGACCACATCATCCATCTTGACCAGACAAGATCACAATACCTAGCCAATCAGAAAGCAGCACTGTTGGGATGTAGTGCAGGATGCTTGACCACCAAACCATAAAAGGGGCCTACCCTAAGATAGCACCTGAGCAGTAATAGTAAAGAATTGACCTATAATGAACTTATGATGTAGAGAGTCTTATTTTAATATCATTTTCATACATACATGCTCCCCCATTTGGGGTTTCTTATATACATTGTCAGTAACTGCATGCACAGTCTCATAGAGGCTGGGACCCCTTCCCCATTACCTAATCCCTTAACAAACACCTCCTCCCCTTTTCATGTTACTTACATTCCTATGTTCTATGTAAATATTGATTGTATTATCAGCATCATATACGCTATAAAATTGTCTGTCTTGCCTTACTGGAGTTGCTAATTCCTCTAATGAACTTGGCCATTCACCAGACTGTGAAACCTCAAAACCATAAGAAATCTTTCTAACTGGCTTGAAGTCAGCCTGACTCTTTGAAATTCTTTAGAGATGCCCCACTGCAACTCAACTTGCCCCTCATCAAAAGGAGTAGCTGGCAAGATGAGTGAAGACCATGATTAAACTAGAATCAATTTCGGGAGGTCCACACTGCAGGTCTTGATTATTTCTACCTCTTCTCATTGCCTGCGCTCTGGGTACTTGACACCTGGTGACATGCATGTATGTATGTTGTTGATGTTGCTGTTGAGTGAGTTGAGTTGTGACTGACTTTTTGTAATGTCATTTGGGGTTTTCTTGGCAAAGATACTAATAGTTTGCCATTCCTTTTTCTAGCTAATTTTACAGATGAGGACACTGAGGGCAATACGGTTAAGTGACTTGCCTGGGGTCACATAGATAGTAAGTGTTGGTACACACATTTGAACTCAGGTCTTCCTGACTCCAGACAAAGTGCTACATTCACTGCACTGCCTAGTAGCCCATGTATGCCCTTCATAGAAGAACACTTTTGTTAAACTACTTCCTGCCAAGTTCTGTATTTGAGATTCTCCTGTATATCCCACTGCAGGAGTCAAACTGACAAAATCACATGCTATTGGAACAGGAATAAACCTTTACAGGAGTCATCACAGCTGATTCCTCTTCCACATAACAGCCTTCAGGTGTTTGAAGGAAATGGTAATGATCCTCTGCTCCAAGAATCCATTTTTCTTTGCAAAAATGCCCAGTTTCACAACAGAATCACATGAATGGATTAGCTACCCCAACCCCTTATCTTCTCCCCTTCATGCTCCAAGATGAGTAATGTGTGAAGACTCTCAGCTGGGCTTTTCACAGGAAAAAAGAAGTTGTGAGAGGGGCCACATAGAAGAAGGTAAGGAAAGTAGTGGAGAATGGCGATTACTGGCTGAGATGAGAGAAGTGTGATCATCAGTAGAATGGTGTAAAAAGATAGGAAGGGGAGCAAGACTCTGATAGTAAGAGAGGATGATGGGATAAGTGGGGAGAATTTGAGGTGGATAAAGAGAGTAAGAATAGAATGAGAAGCAGAGGGTGGAGGGTTGAAGAGTAAGAATGGGAGCATGCCTGAGGAAAGTCAAAAGGATTATAATATTAATGGCTAGGAAGAGGAGAGAGGAGAAAGATTAGGGTTTAAAAAGTAAGTAAGAATATAAAGAATCATGAAAGAATGGAGAGGAGCAGGGTTACTCAAAAGAAAGGAAAGTATAGGAGAAGAGACAAAAGGTGATGGAGAAGGGGAGTAAGAATAAGGAGGGGGTTGGATGAACTAAGCATAGTGTATGCAGCAAGGAAAGAAGAGGAATGAAGAGATTAAAGACTTCAAAGAGATGACAAGACTGGGATGCGCATGAACATGGAGGAGATGCTGAAAGGACTACATTTAGAAATAGAAATGAGCATTCAGAGAGGAGTAGAGAGGCTGAGGAAAGGGAGGAGTTGGGGAAGAATGAGGCAAGTGAGAGGTGGGCAGAGAAAAGAGAGGGTCAAAGTGAACACAGCTAGTAGAGGTGTTAAGTGATAGAGGAGAGTGGAGAGAAAGTAGGATGAAGGAAGGAAAAGTGAGGACTAGTAATTCTCGAGGGAGATGGCAAGGAGAAGAGAAATGAAAGTGAGGGTTGTGACAGAATCGAGACAATGGACAGGTCAAGAAAAAGGGGGGAGAGAAAGAATTCAGAATAAGTAGAATGAGGTCATACAAGACATCCTGCAGGATAAGGAAAAGGGAAACACTATAAAGAATTCAATCTATCAATGAAGGTGAAAGAGTGAAGAGAGTGAGGATACTGGTATAATTCTCCTGCTGCTTCCTGCTGATGTGAAAAACCTGCTTTCACTGTAAGGGAAATCTAGCTTCTCTGGCTTTTTGTTCCTTTCCAAAGAGTCTTAGAACTTTTTATGTCCCACATTAGTCATCAATTTCCATCTTAAATGACTGCCTTAGGAGGTAAAAAAGTTCAGTTAAGAAAATATTCCTTAAAATTAGAATTGGGAGAATGAAAGCTAATGACTCCATGAGACTTTGAGAAGGAATAAAACAAAATCAAAACAATGAAAATTAGAAGAAAATGTAAAATAGCTCATTCAAAAGACAACTGACATGGAAAATAGAGGAGAGAATATTTAGGAAGTATTGGACTACCTGAAACCCTTGATGAAAAATAAAAAAAAAAAGATTAGACACCATGTTCCATTACAATATCAAGGAAAACTATACAATTAGCAGAAAGGTGTGAATGCCCTAGACGTGAGTTCATTGTCTGCGCTGGCCTCTCCAAGTGCAATTGGTCCATTGAAGTCTCAGGCTCTTTTTAAGGGATGGCACGTGTCCCTCACATCTGAAAGGCTTGGATTTTATATGTGATTTAACTTCTTGTGATCTAGAGATTCAAATAAGTTCAAGGGTAAGAGATCATTACCTGGTGCTGTAAGGTACATAAAGCATTTTACTTACATTATGTGATTTCATTCTCACAGCAAGTCTGTGAGGTAGGTAATGTTGTGATTATTATTCTCATTTTTAACGGATTATGAAATAGAAGATCAGTCAGGAAGCAAACATCTATGAAGAGCTTACTTTATGCCAGGCACTGGGCTAAAACTGAGGATAAAAATCAGGGTTGAAAAATGTCACTATAATCATCTAGTGGACACTCTAGTTGAATAGGAAACATGAAAACCATAAATGTATATGATAGGTACAGAGTGGATGAAAGGTAATTCTTAAAATGGAAAGCATTAGTAGCAGGGGAATTGACTGTACACCTTCAACTTCTTACACCATTCACAGGCACAGTGGCGCTCCAAGGTAAAGCCCTTATTTGGATTTCTGTCAAGGTTATCAATGTGTTTCTTCTAACTGCGTTGAGGCATCCATGCTACTCTGCCTGAAGCTCTCAGCTACCAATAGATGGCAGCCAACACAATGTTCTCCATCTTACTTTTCCCAGGTCACCTCTTCTGCTATCCATCCTACCCTTCCCCAACTCTGACTTTCGGAATCCCAGAACTTCAAGTCTCATCTGAGGTGCCATTTTCTTCATGAAGCCTCTGTTAATTCCCACCTAGGAATTAGTGAAATCCCTTCCAAAATTGCCTTCTATTACATTTGGATATAGTTTCTATATTTGTATGCAACATGTTGCTCTGGAGCCACTATTCCTATTTCCACCCTCAGTGAAAAGATCAGCTCCACAGGTCCTGTGGAACATCCCCTCGAGCCTGCCTCTCTAACAAGACTCATCCTATCTAATATAGTTCACCAGCCCTGCCCTGTGTGCTTGTGATTCCCTTCATGATCATCAGTTGATATCATTTAGTCATTAAGATGAAGTTAGCTTTGAGAAAGGCGGAGTTATCAAGGAGTTGTAGTAAGAACAGTTATTACAAATGATACTCCTAAGTCTTGGACACACTCTCCTATTTATTCCTAGCTGCTATTGCCCCTGGACCCAGATGGCTCCAGAGGAGAAAGTGAGGCTGGTGACTTTGCACAGCCCTCCCTCACTTAAATCCAATTCATTTGTAAATCATAGCATCACCTTCCTGATGTCACAGTCCCTTCAAGAGCAAAGGACAAACAACAACAGCCCATAGGGAGGCAGTTTCAGTTCACACAATGGCTCATCTGAGACTCTACATTGATAAAGGCCTTTTCATATTTTCTTAGAATGCCTTTGATTTTTTCTACTAAATCAACCACCTGGTTAATATACCAGGGCCAACCATTTTGTCAGTAACTTTGGGTGGGATAGTTTGATTGGTTCATTTAATTGCACAGTCCCAGGATGATGTGATGAGGGCCTCAAGCAAAGTGGGAGCAATGTTAAAACAGAGAAAAGGGTATGTTTAGGAAATGTGAAGGAAGAGAGAGAGACAGAAGACAGGAAGGATAATAAATGAGACCTGGGAAGATGAGGGATATCATGTTGAATGGCTTCAGTTTGTTAGTATTTTTGTAAAATATGAGACACGATTCTTATCTATAGCCTAACTCTTCTCATGGGCTCTTGTTTGTCTCCCACTGTCAATTCTGGACGAGCAATGGAAACTGTAAGGTAGGTCCAAACAGCAGAGCATTTTTTGCATCATGGAGCCATACAATTGAATATTTTGAGAAACTCAAACCCTTCATTTTCTAGCTAGAGAAAGTGAGTTCAGGAAGAGTAGATGTGACTTGTATAAAGTGACATATGTAACCAGAAGCAGAGCTAAGGTTCAAACCCTGTGCTCTAACTCCAAGTCCCCTGCTGTCTCCACAATATCATGCTGATACCAATTTTTGAAAGTGTTCATGACCTTTGAAAGCCAATAGTTACACAAATCACAAATATCAGTGTTTGCCCTTTTAAAAGATTTTCACTTTCCCAGCAACACTACCAAATTGAGAACACAAGCAAAAGAAGATCCATTACAAACATGTAGAGTCAGTCAAAACAAGTATTTTCATGCTCACCACATCCAAAAAATTAGTTTTTTTTATTTTGAACTCTGAGTACTTCAACTCCTGGTGAGAAGGTGTGGAGCATGTTTCATCATTAGTCCTCTGGAAACCTGGTTGGTCATTACACTGTGCATGCGTTTCCTTCTTTACGCCAGTTTAAATGAGCTGAAGGTCCAAGTGTCAACTACTCCCATGCCTTCCACCTAATTTATTTGGATGTCTTCATTGGTACCTTGATTATTGAAATAATCTTCTCTGATGTTCTTACCCTTCCCAAGCCCCTAATATATTCCTCCTCTTCCCTTCTTTTTTCCATTTTTCTCTTAACATCATCAAGACAAAACAGAATCAATATTAGGACCTGTCTGATGAGACTTTTTTTTTTTTACCATTGATGATGGTAGGCCTCAGAGGTGTTATTACAGGTGTCATCTCCCCATAATGGAATATAAGAAGTACAATTTACATAGACTTTTATCATTTTGCATCTTCTTTACCTTTTTATGTTTCTCTTCACAACCCTCTTTGATCTTCAGTGTTTCACTACAATTCTGGC